GGTGTGGCATGACACCATGCAAACATTTAAAAAAGCCCAAGAATGCTGCATGATCTTTGCTTAGTGAGTAAGAAAGCACAGTCTGGTAGTACGTAACCTGAATGAGTGCTACCGTGACAGAGAGACACCAAGTAAGTAACTGGACAGCTGAGGACACATTTGGGTCTCCGTGAGACTGTCATGTGATCACTGCCGCTTGTTTTGTCTTGATAGTCCTGCTCTATACAGTTGGACCTCCCCAGATTCTGACCCTTCCTGATGCTGTATCCCAACTTTCACCTAGCGAGCCCCTGCAGTTAATATGCAGGCCCCACCCAAGCAAAGACAGAATTAATGACCTTAGATTAGACTTGCTTCTAGAGGCCCTACTGAAGGAAACCTTGCACCCAGGGAGCATGTTTCATTCATCATGGTGTGAGGAAGCACTAATGAAGAATTGGAATGGTCAGAAAACGTGACAGCCCTTCTGAAGTCCATTAGGTTGTTTACAGTTTTTCACTAGTGTAGCTAGTTGTGCACTGTACATCTTTGGACTATAGCTTTGTGTACTTGTTTTTGAGATAGGGTGTCACTAATGTAATCCAGGCTGGCCTTGAACTCACTGTATAGCCCAGGCTAGCCTTGAACTCACAGTGATCCTCCGGGGTCAGCTTCTTGAGTGCTGGGATTGCAGGCGTGTACCACCATGCCTGACCTTAGCTTTATGTGCTTGCTTAGATACATTTTGCTGGGTAGAATTCTAAAAGTAAGATATTCTGTCAAAAGGTTTATGCATTTTGTATTCTATAGAAGCTGCTTATTGCCTTCCAGAAGGTGGCATCAATTTGTGTCCCATAGACAGCTGCCTTTCCCACACAGTTTCACCAGCGTGGGATGTTCCTGTCTTTATCACTGTGGCTACTGTGACTGGTGACATTCCAGGGGTAGTTAACTGCATTCCGAAATACATGTGTGGGACAGGAGAAACAGGAGTAGGAGGGCTGGGAGTGTCAGGGACAGGAGGAGCACCTGTGGTGGAGGGGAGACCAGCAAGAGAGAGGTTCCTGGGCAGTGCCAGGGAAACAGACAGGTCGGAACGTTGGACAGTGAGGGTGACTGATGAGAAGTAGAAATGAGAGGCAGCAAGTTGCCACCAGCATGCTTGGCTCCATTCCGTTTCCGATGCCTTCACTGTATAAGCCAAGGAAGAGAGCTGACCAGCAACCGGTCCCCATGGGGCAGATCCCTCCTCAGCACAAGACATTTTTAGGCATTTGTGTGCCCAAAAGGATGAGCTTGAACTTGTAAAAATTTCTGGAAGTTTTTTTTTTTTGTGTGTGTGTGTGTGTGTGGAACCAGGGATTGAACTCAGGCCTTTGCACTTGCCAGGGAAGCACTTATTCCACTGAGCCATCTCCCCAGTCCCTTTCTGGAAGTTTTGAAATCTATTTCTTTGTTTGAGGAGGTGCTGGGGATTAAACCTGGGAACTTGTCATGCGAGTCTCATTTTCTACCAGTGAGCTACCCCCAGCCCTTAAAATTTGAAGAAAAAATCTGCAGCAAAATGTAATTCTTATTTTTCTAGCTACTTTAATAAATGTGACATTATATTGTGATCAATGTGGAAGTTTATTTCCTTATATAATGATCGCATATGGTATTTAGATTCACAGTGGAGCTTAATCATATACTGCTAATCATTACATCCCCAGCTTGTTTTTTGTTTTTTTGAGACAGGATCTCCCTAAATTGTTAAGTTGCCCAAACTGAGCTTGAAATTGGTGATCCTGCTGCCTCAGCCTCCCAGAGTGTTGCAAATACAGGCATGCACTACTATGCCTGGCTGAGCTTATTTCTCCTCTCTCTCTCTCTGTCTCTGTCTCTCTGTGTCTCTGTCTCTGTCTTTGTGTCTCTCTCTTTCTCTTTCCCCCTCCCTCCCTTCCTTCCTCCTTCTCTTTCTTCCTTTCTTTCTTCTTTTTGAGACATGGTCTCACTGTGCAGCTCAGGTGGGCCTGGAGCGCACTTTGTAGCCCTGACTGTTCTCAAATGTACAACCATCCTCCTGCCTCAGGCTCCCAAGTGCTCAGATTAGGATTACAAGCCTGCACTACCACACACGGCTGAATTTATTTCTTAAATGAGTTAATATTTGTAGTTAAAGTCTGCTGATTGTAAATCCACACTGTGGTTTTGTCATTAGAAGTGGTAAAATTAGAAGTAATTATCAATATACAAGAAGTAAAACAGCCAGTATATTTATAGACTGAATGTGTGACCCAGGGGTGTGGGCCACTAAGAAGGGAGTGGATTCAGGGCAAGGGTGAAACTTGCTCCTGACAGCAGATCAGAGGCTGAGGTAGGAGGATCACCGTGAGTTCAAGGCCAGCCTAGGCTACATAGTGAGATCAAGATAGCCTGAATTAGAGCAAAACTTTGACTCAAAAAACTTAAAAAAAAAAAAAAAATCTGCAGTAAAGAAAAAGAATTCCCTTCTTTTCTAAATGCATTGATGTAACCTATTGCAGTATGGAAACTAGCCTAATAAGATTCACTTGGAAATAAATTGAATTTGATCTGATTCCCAATAAACTGCCTGAGAAAGCAGGCCCCAGGCTCAGTTCTATCCCTCCCATCTACCCAACTATCCTTTTACAAACCACCACACCTACTGCCAATTATAACTGTTACAGAGTGCTTCACTGTGTGCCTGCTACCATTCCAGGTGCTTGCATTATCTCAATCTCCTGAACAATGCTGTGAGGTAAACCACTAGCACCTTCTCTTTAATCTGGTGTCTGAGGGTTTCCCAGTGAGTGCAGGGCTTATCATCTCACCTAGCAGTGCTTCCTAGGTCTGTGTCCTCAAGAATTGAAAGCAGGTATTTAAACAAGAGTGTTCCTAGCAGCTCATTCATAATAGCCTAAAGGTGGAGACGACCTGGTGTCCACTGGCAGATGCATGCCCACGCAAGACATAGTGTATCCATACATGCTACATTATGCAGGAAAAGGAAGGTGTAGTGGTTGATACATTGTGTGTACTTGGCCGGATGACTCCGCTGAGCACTTCCGCGCACTTCCGGCTGGTGGGGGTCCTGCTCTGGGGCTCAATTGGTTCTGCCCCCAGAGTGACTCAGCACAAAGAGTCCACGTAAAGAGGATGAAGAAGTAGTCGATCTTCCACTTCGTCAGAGGAACTTCAGACTTCGCATTCGGCTTGGACTTCATCGCCTGAGACTCTTCCACCTCCGGCTTGGATCCTTCACCTTCGGTCGCAGACTCTTTGGGACTGAACTCCTCAGTCTGGGGTGTGCAGAAGCCCTCTGCACATTCCCTCATCTGACTCTGTGGCTGACTATCGTAAGCCAACCTTGTAATTCCTTACACATTGTATATCTTGTGTTAATATTTGTTTCTTATATCTGTTCCTCTAAGTAAAACCCTGACCAATACAGAAGGGGATTCTGGTTCATTGTGCATCGTAGATAAACCTTGACAACATCATTGCTAAGTGAAAGAAGTCAGACACCAAAGGGCACACACCCTAGAATTCCACTTGAGTAAGCGCTTCAGAACAGGTAAATCCGTAGGGCCAGGAAGCAGCCAGTGGTGCCAGAAGCTGGTGGAGAGGATGTGGGGGAATGAGTGTGATGGGTGGGTGGGGGCTGTCACGTGGGATGACGAAAAGGCTTTGGAACTACACGGTAGTGATGGGTACATAGCACCGTACATGTACTCGATGCTCCTGTGTGGGTGTACATGCTGAATGCTTAAGATGGTAAATTTCATGTTACATGAGCTTTATCACAATTTAAAAAAATGTAATCTGAGGCTTGGAAGAATTAAATAATTTACATAAAATTATGTTACAGCTGATGTGTGGCATCTGGCTCCATGGCTCATATTGGGTTTTTCTGGACACAAGATCTCCCTGTGTAGCCTAGGCTGAACTTGAGCTTGTGATCCTCCTGCCTTTTCCTACCTGAATGCTGGGATTACAGCCCTATGTCGCCTTGCAAGGCTGGTTCATTTTTAAAATTTATTTATTTTTTATTGAAACCTCAAACAATTAATTAATTAATTAATTAATGTATTGTGGCCTGCTCAGGCCGCCCTGAGGGCAGGGCTGGTGTGGCTTGTGGTGCCAGGGATCAAACCATGGTCCCTGCGCTTTGCCTAGACAGCTGCTTTAGGCCACTGAGATATCTCGTTGGCCCCACACTTTTTATTTTTAATTGAGATATTTTTAAAAATGATATTAGTGACTGAACCCAGGGTTTTGTTCACTTAACACAAGTGCTCTACTCACTGGACTATATCCCCAACCCTTTTTGCTTTTTGAGATAACGCCTTGCTAAATTGCCTAAGGCTGGCCTTGGGCTTGAGATCCTTCTACCCTAGTCATTCAAGCAGTTGAGATTATAAGTGTGAGCTGCCATATTTAGCTTTTAAAATTTTAGTTAATTAACTTGCAGAGAGAAAAGAATGCACAAAATTTGTTACATTCCTAATGTATGGGGAGTATTAGAGTCCATGTTTTTTTGTTTTGTCTTTTTTGAGACCGTCTCCCTATGCAGTTTGGTCCAGCCTTGTATTCACTTTTGTAGCCTCCAGGCTGGTCTCAAACTCACAGCGACCCTCCTGTCCCAACCTCCCTAGTGCTGGGATCACAGGTGTGTGCCACCACCCTGTTCCAGGCCAGGTTGGATCCCAGTGGATCCCGGGCTGACATGCGGGGCCGGGGATTGAACTGGGTCCCTGTGCTTACCAGGTAGGTGCTTATGTCTCTGAGCTATCTCCCCACACCCAGTCCATGTTTTTAATAAAAACCAGTTTGAAATAAGTGAATATTTTATTTTGGGCCACTTACGAGGTTCAGAGAAGTTTAATCATCTCTAGCCACTTCCCGTCAACACACAGGAAAGGTCTGGGAAAACAGTAGCTGTGCTGGGATCCTGAAAAAGAGCTACAGCCTGGAGACCAAACAGTTGCGTGTGTCTCTGATGCTCCTGTCCCCTATAGGTGGAGGGAGGACCCAGGACAATGGCTGCTGTTCAGAGCATTGAGATGCATTACATGAATGTCCCTGTGGAGAGAGCACAAGAAGGAGAGCAGGCGGAAGAGCAGACGGAAGAGCAGACGGGCGAGCCTGGGGATGGTTCCCATCCTCCCAACAGCAGTAAGGTCCACAGGCTCATCTTAAAGTGGATGCTCCCGGAGCCGATCCGGACAGCATACCTGGAGAGAGCCAACTGCCTGCCCCCCCCTGTGTTCATCATCTCCATCAGCCTGGCCCAGGTACATGCTGTGGGCATAGCAGATGCCCCCACATGGACTGTGCAGGGCAAGTAGGGGCAAGATCTAGGTCTACCGAAGAGACTGGGGAGGGAGGAGAAGAGGGCTTTGCAGAGGCAGGGGCAGCATGCTCCAAGCCTCCACTGCCGGTCCTGGCATCCCTGCATACTGTCTTTGCAGCCCAAGCTTGAGTTTCATTCTCAAATCCCCAGCCTGGCAAGGACTGTGATTTCTTGGCTTCATTTTATCTTAGATGGCTTCGTTTTATCTTCTGTGGCTTCATTTTATTTTAGATGTTTGGGGTCTTTAGAAACCGAAGAATCTTGGAGGTGCAGATTGTTTTCTCATGAACCAATTAGATAGGTTGGCAGGGGCCCTCCGGGGCCATATGTTTAGGAGAATCATAGGCTGCCTCAAATTGCAGAGGACAAAAGTAGGATTCTCAGGCATATTCTCTGACTCTGATTGGGCAGTGGACTTGGAAGTGGATGGCTCACCCAATGGCAGGTCTTAGTGACTGTACCAGGGCCAGGCTTCTCCTGGAGGCAGAACCTTTTCTACTCTACCATATAGTACCATATCATACTGTACTGAACCATACTGTACTATACTGTGGCAGAGCATGGCTGTTCATGGAGTGTGACCTAAAGGGCCTGTGACATCCCCAATGCTCTCCTGTTAAATCCCCCTGATATCTCCAGCTTCCCTATCAGGAACTGAGCAGGACCAGGAAGAGGGATGAAGAGCAAGGGGCTGGAGTGATCTGGACTGTGAGGCAGTGACTGCTGTGGCCGTTTCCCATAGTAGGGCCAGGCAGGTGCCAAGGTATCTGCCTCTTACAGAAATCTTTTTATTTTTAAGTAGGTTTTTTTTGTTTTTTTGGCTGTGTTGGAGAGTAAACCTAGCACCTTGCAATCACTTTACCATTAAGCTACATCCCTACTCCTAAGTAAACTTTTGATTTGGAATAATTTTAACTTTATAAAACAATTGCAAAGATAAACTAAGACTTTTGAACACCTATCACCAAATTCTTGAATTGTTAATATCTGATAATTTCATAGTACAATGGTCAAAACTAAGCAACTAATGCTGGTATAGTAGAGGTTGACTATCCCTTATTTGAAATGCTTGGAACCAGAAGTGTTTCGGATTTCACAGTTTTTCTGCTTTCAGAGCATTTGTATACATTGACTACCAGTATCCCCAACCTGGAAATCTAAAACTCAAAATGGTTCAAAATCTGAAACATTTTGAGCACCAACATGATACTCAATTCTTTATTTTTTCAATTTTTGGAGGAATTTGGATTCAGATTTTTGGAGCAGGAATGCTCAACTTGTGCTATTAATTAAACTCCTGACTTTATTTGGATCTTATGAGTCTTTCTATTAATGTGTTTTTTTTTTTTCTGTTCCTCAGGTTCCCTCCAATCCAGAGTTTCACGTTGCATGTCATGGCCATGTCTCCTCTGTTTCCTCTGATCTGTGACAATTTCTCAGTCATTGTTTTCCATTGTGACTGATCATCTTGACTCCCACTGGCCAGATATCCTTTGGGATATCCTCCTAGTCTGAGTTTGTCTGATATCTTTCACACGATTAGACCAGAGTTCTGGGCTTTGGAGAAGAACAGTAAAGAGGTGCAGTGCCCTTCTCCTCACATACCAGGAAGTAGAGAACTTCCCTGGGGTGCTGACCTTCACCCCTTGATCGAGGCAGTCTATCCATTGTAAAGTTACTATTTGTACCAGGTTCATACATTATAAAGCTGTACTTTCAAGGTTTACTCATTGTAGAGTTACAATTTTTCCTCTTTCCTTGCTTTAATCTTTGGAAGCCAGTATTGGACTTAGTTGTATATTAATTGTACTTGTGAGCTGGGCTTGATGGCTCACAGCAGTAGTCCCAGCACCTGGGAGGCTAAGGCAGAAGGATCGCTGCAAATGTGAGGCCAGCCTGGTGGGCTACATAGTGAGTTCAAGACCAGCCTGAACTGCATAGTGATACTGTCTCAAAAACACAACAGCAAAAAAACCTGTGATTGTAAATGAAAGATCAAGTGGTGGGGCCGGGGAGATGGCTTAGTAGAGTAAGCATTTCCCCGGCAAGCACAAGGGCCTGAGTTCGATCCCCGGTTCTGCCAAAAGGAAAAAAAAATAGATCAAGTGGTGATGCCACCATGGAGAGGTGAAGGCAGTGGGTAGAAAGAAGAGTGTTAGAGGTTAGTACTGATTGTAGGGTGTTGAAGAGCAGAGGAAAGGAGATTTAGAAAGAATCTTCTTTGCAGTGTGGTCTAGTACTCCCAACCACCAATTGCTGTCATCTTGTGACCCCCCCCCCCACCAGAGAGCTGTTACTCAAACACATCTTCTGGGCTGTATGGGGCATCTCTGGAGAAGTTGTGGTTAATGTTCCTGTCTGCCCCTTTGTCAGCTGGCAATGTTTATTTACTATGCGGTGTGGAAGCCCCCGAAACAGTGGATTACCTTGGACGCAGGCATCCTAGTCAGTCCCTTTTCCTACCGTCCTGACAAGAGAGAAGAAACCTGGAGGTTCGTCTCCTACATGCTGGTGCATGCTGGGTAAGGAAAAATGGCTTGAGCCACTGGTGTCAAAGTGGCTATGTGTAACAGGGACTCCTAACATGTGTCAGGAGCTTTGTTATTGGTAAGGCACTTTCATGGCCATTATCTTGAACTCACAGCAACCTAGGAGGCAAGCATTTCTCCCACTGTTTTATGGTTGTGATATAGTTTTTTTGTATGTTTGTTTTTAGACAGGGTCTCACTATATAGTCCAGGCTGGCTTTGAACTCATGTTGTAATCCAGGCTGGCCTAAAACTCACAAGAATCCTCCTTCCTCAGTTTTCCCAGTGCTGGGATTACAGGGGTGGTCCACCAAGCCCAGCTATAGCTGTGATAAAATCACAACTGAATGAGAGTGAGGACTTCAACCCACTAGTGCAGTGCATTATCAATGCCTAATATTGATACTGATACAGCAGCACTAATGAGAAGAGACCAAAGCATTATCACACCAAAAGCAGGTTCCTCTTGGTGGATGGATGTTGTTAACTGCTCTCTGTAGGTTATGAAGTGGTGAAACTGCATCACCAGTCTGTCTCCCTCCCCAATCCCATGCTTTAAAAAAAATTCATGAACATTTTGAGCAGCATGTAACTCTGTTGTTCATCTTAAATGGCGCGGGTGATACTTGCCCCCTCTCTGTGTTGGTTACTATTTCCTAAGCCCTGGCAGCTTTTCCTGACCTCAGCACCTCCAATGCCCCATGCCCACTACACCACTGTCACTAGGCACCTTGCTGTGGGCCCCACCTCCTGGGTGGAGTTGTGTGGTGTCAGCTGCAGCCAGCCTCATCTGTGTGACCAGCCTAGCTCCAAATTGAAAAGGACTTTTTTATTTCTTTTTTTTTATTATTATTTATTTATTCATTTATTGTGTGTGTGTGGCCAGTTCAGCCCACCAGGGGGCGGGGCTGGCTGGCATGTGGTGCTGGGGGATTGAACCACGGTCCCTGTGTTTTGCTTAGCTTGTTCTAAGTAGGTGCTTTAGACCACTGAGCCATCTCATCAGCCCCAGGACTTTTTTATTTCTTATGGTGTTGGGAATCGAACCCAGGGCAGGGCCTTGTGTGTACAAGGCAAGAGCTCTACTCCTGAGCCCCAGCCTCAGCCCCAGATGACTCTTCGACTTGTGGCTAGATAGGTGTCCACGGAAAGTTGTAGGATTCGGAGGGTTAAGTCCAGGATAAAACCCCTAAATGCCCATTTTCTGTAGACTTTTCCACACTTTAGTTTTCCACTTAACAAATGTGTTTTGAGCAAATGTGGCTTCTGCATTTAAGGACTTCAACATTTTAGGGAGAACAATTTAAATAGTAGCATAAGGCAGCATATTTTTTTTTAAATTTTATTTATTTGTGTGTGTGTGTGTGTGTGTGTGTCTCCAGCTCAGCCCACCAGGGGGTGAGGCTGGATGGCATGTGGTGCTGGGGGATTGAACCGCGGTCGCTGTGCTTTGCTAAGCTTGTTCTAAGTAGGTGCTTTAGACCACATCTCATCAGCCCCAAGGCAGTATATATTATAGCAGACAGTAACTACTTAATCTGTGTCTCAGTTTCCTTATCTGTAAAGTGAAGTTATAGCTCATGAGGTTGGGATTAAGTAAGACAACAGCTACAAATTTCATGTAGTAGAAACACATAGTAAGGCACTAAAAAGAATTGCAAGGCTGTATGGGACTTGTCACATGTGGGGTTGCATAAGGTAGAAATGCTTTTGGGTGCAAACAACAAATCTAACTCACGGGGCTTCAATGAATAGGGGGCAATTTTTCCTCATACAGAAAGTTCAGAAGTATGTAATGGGCTCATCAGTTTAGTGAAGCCAGGGCTCTAGGTCCTGTTCTGGCTTCTCTGCTATTCCCTTGGTCATTCCTGTTTGCAAGTTGGCTGCTGTATCTCTGCATTCAGAGTGAAGAGAGGGAGAAAGGTGCTCTTTCTCACCCCACCCCTTTTGGTACCAGGGATCGTACTTGGGACCTTGCACTTGCCAGGCAGGTGCTTATAGTGCTGAGCTATACCCATGACCCTGTCCATCTCTTTTGTTAAGATAGGAGGTCTCTTAAAGGTCTCCTGACAGCACTATTACCTCCCCCTCCCTCCTGTTGAGATAGGGTCTCACTATGTAGTGTAGGTTGGTTTTGAGCTCACAGTGTAGCCCAGGCTGTCCTCAGACTTGTGACCATCCTCCTGCCTCAGCTTCTCTAGTGCTGGGATTATAGGCGTGGATTAACACATCCAGTTAGGAGCAGGCATTTCTAATTTAAAAAAAAATTCCAATCTTTGTGTTTGAGGACTCCAAAACACTAGTACAGTTCTACCTTGGTTCACAAACTTAGTTTGTTCTGTATTTGTTTTTTTTTTTTTACTCTTTTTTTTTTTTTAATTTTTTTTTTAATTTTATTTATTTATTTGTGTGAGTATGTGTGTGTGGCCAGCTCAGCCCACCAGGGGGCGGGGCTGGCTGGCATGTGGTGCTGAGGAATTGAACCGTGGTCCCTGTGCTTTGCTGAGCTTGTTCCAAGTAGGTGCTTTAGACCACTGAGCCATCTCACCAGCCCTCTGTATTTGTTTTAAAATTATTTTTGGTCTTTTCAAGACAGGGTTTTTCAAGACATGCAGTTCAGGCTGGCCTTGAGATCATTTTATAGCTCTGGCTGGTCTCAAATTCACAATGATCTTCCTGCCTCAGCTGCCCACATGCTGGGATTACAGGCATGCTCCACCCCGCCTGACACTTCTATAACTTTAGGAAAGATAGCCACCTGTGGGAAGATGGCTGTGGTTGTGTTCATCACCTGACACAGCATTTGCGTACAGAAACAGAATTTTGCCCAATGCTTGCTTGTGAACTAACTTGTTTGCAAGCAAAAGCATCCATGAGCTGAAGGGCCACCTTACATCTGTCCCTGCTGCACCATTCCACGCTGCATACATATCACCTCTCACGTGGCTTTGAAGATAGTTTGGGCACTGATAAGAAAGGTGGGTGCATGGAAGGGCATTGGGGAGGTCATCTGTCCCACAGAGTAGGACACAAACGCTCTTCTGTAACCTTACAAATATTTGTCAGGTAAATGAAAGGAGTATGGAAGCTCCTGCCCTGGGAAGATCCAAGGCTAATTTTGAACTTTTGGTTTAATGGGAAATCGCCTTAAAAAAATAAAAATTACGCTGTGTGACAACTAAATTAAAGGTAACTATAATGTGAGACATTTTCTAATTATGTTTAGAGATTCTCCAGAGGCATTTATGGGGTTTAGTAAGCAAGATAATAAGAATTTTATTTTTTTTACTATATTTTTTAAGAGTAGGAAAAATTTATTGAAAGGTAGTATCTAAGAAGTTCAGAAGGGGGCCTGAAACTATTTAAAAATATTTTTACCAGGCTAGGATGTAGCTTAATGGTCGAGTACTTGTGTAACATGGGCAAGGCCCTGGGTTTGATCTCCAGCACTGAAAAATGAGTGTATGTTTATTTAAAGACTATAGTACTACTCGCATTCAAATGTGTTAGATGCCAAATTGTAGCACATAGCAGTTGCCAACTTATCAAGTGTTAAAGGTAACTTTTTAATACAGAATCAGGAGTAAAGCTTCTCTTGCCATCTCTGCATCAGATGATGAACACAACCACAGCCATCTTTCCCATAGGTGGCTATCTCTCCTAAAATTATTAAATTCCTGAGGCTTCAAGATGCTTTTGCTGAAAAATCTATTGAAATTTAAAGTGGGCTTGGTGGGGCTGGTGAGATGGCTCAGTGGTCTAAAGCACCTACTTGGAACAAGCTTACCAAAGCACAGGGACCGCGGTTCAATCCCCAGCACCACATGCCAGCCAGCCCCGCCCCCTGGTGGGCTAAGCTGGCCACACACACACACACACACACACAAATAATAAATAAAAAATAATAATAAATAAAGTGGGCTTGGTGGCACATGCATATAATCCTATCACTTAGGAGGGTGAGGCAGGAGAATTCCTACAAGTTCAAGGATAGCCTGGGTCACACAGTGAGTTCAAGGATAGGCTGAGCTATATAGCAACACTCTGCCTAAAAAAAAAAAAAAAGAAAGAAAGAAAGAAAGAAAAAGAAAGAAAAGAATCTATTAAAATGTAAACTACATAGGATTTTAAAAATCTATTGAAATTCACACTCTGTGAATTAGGATTTTCTCAAAACTGCAATGGAAGAGGGCTGGCCAAATAGCTTAGCAGATCAAAGTGCCTGCAAGCTGACACAGGGACTTGAGGTTTGATCCCCAGGCCTGCTGTGCCTGCCTCCCCACGGGGCACACTGAGACAGTAATTGAGGCTGGGCAGGATGGCGAGCACCTATAATCCCAGTTCTTGGGAAGCTGTAAGTAGGCGGATCACTACAAGTCTGATCTAGTAGTGAGACCCGAACACCCTGTAGACCCTTCCCTAAAATACCAAAAAAACCCCCAAAAAACAAAAAACAAAAAAACAAAAAAAAACCCAACCCCCTCCCCCCAAAAAAAAAACTGCAATGGAAATAAAATCTGATGCTGAGGCTGATGTGATTGTAATTGTCATCCTAACCTCCAATTAAGTTTTTATTTCTTTATAAGGATTTTTTTTTTTTTTTGCTCCGAATGCCCTCAGGGCTTGTTTGGCTGGCTGGAGAGTTGTGGGGATCCAACTAGAGTCACCTGAGGCTGACAGCTTGGTGGAAGCAGCCACTTTAAAGAACTGAGCTAGGGCCAGGCCCCCAAAGTTTTTATTTCTTAAAATTATTTAATTTATTGATTCCTGTTTCAAATTGTTACAAAAAAGAACTTACAAAATGCATTTATTCTTCTAAAACGCCCTTTTGTTGGTTTTACATATTGCAGCTCCATGCAAAGTTTATTTTTTAATTAATGTTAAAGGTAGAAAGGTTTTATTAATAGTAGGAAAAGAAACCGGCTCTAAATGCTTATTTCTACTTTTATATAATTATTTTTCCTTCATATTCTGTAAGGACTTAAAGTTCAACCTATCAATATTTGATGGAAAATACCTGTTCCATGATATGCCAAAATGTTTGATATTTAGACAGATAGGGTAAACTGAATTGCATATATTGCAGGTTAATAATTAGCTTCTCTTCTGGAGGGTTAACAACCTAAGTTAGCAGTTCAAAATTGGAGAAAAGGAAGGGCTGCAAGGTCAGCCAACATTTTGGCCCTAGCCTTTCAAAGTCAGTGAAGACTCGGGACATAGGAGAACCTATACTGTAACAATATGTAACTCGGTTGTGCTCCAAATATTCTGATCAAGAAGATTATGGAGCCACAGAGAAATGTGTTCAAAGATGTATAGTGTGCCTGGGGAGAGTTACATGGAGAGAAAAAACATTTTCTCAAGCTTTCACAGAGAGCAAATTGGTCAAGCAATGGCCGTGACTCATCCTCATGTCAGACACTGACAAAAGGATGCACAAAAGGAGGTACAGGGCTAAGGATAAATCCTGAGAGTACTTGGCTGACCTTATTGGATACAAAAGTTACATTTCTGGGTATATAGGTCTTGCTGTATCTTGGTCTTAACCATCCAGGGGAAAAGTATAAAAATGAGGTATATAAAGTAAATCCATATTAATATGATGAGCTGTAAAAGGCTCAAGTCAATAACTTCTGAGGATAATCCACTAATATTATAGACTGCTAGGCAGTGTTAGATTGTTTAGTTGAATTCAGACACCTATACTATTTAGATGCCAATAGAATATTCACCTCTGACAGACAGTAAAAAGAAAGGATACAAAAAAAAAATAAAGAATTATACTTGAGGGCCGGGGAGATAGCTCACTAGAATAAGTGCTTGCCTGGTGAGCACAGGGTCCTGCGTTCAATCCCTGGTACCACAAAAAAGAAAAAAATAAAATAAAAAATTATACTTGGTACCAACTGAGAACCAGTAATATGCAATTATTATGTAATAACAATAATTACTAATTATTAGGTGATAATGACATGTAAAACCCTCTACCACAGATGAAGAACCTGCATCTTAAGATACGTGAACAGAAAAAGACAAAGTAGGACATTGGATTTCCATAAAATTGCCAAATAAGTTTATACATATTAACATTTATAAATTGAAAGCACAATAAGGAGACCCCTGATATAATTTTTCATGTAATTTCTCATACGTTTCATCTCTCCACCATTTAAATGGCATTATGTTCTTTTCTTGTTCTTATCACTTTCTTAAAAACAACCAAATGGATCAATAAAGTGTGGGTTCCGAAAGAAAGAAAGAAAGAAAGAAAGAAAGAAAGAAAGAAAGAAAGAAAGAGGCTCTGCAGAGCTCTTGGCCAAATAAAAGCACTCGAGGAAGTACACACTGTGGAGTGAGGACTGGCCACCACACAAGAGCACTGGCCTCAAGGTTTTATTTTAAGGGGAAAACCAAAAAGATTTCCTGCTAAAATAATTAGAAAATGGAATGGTAGCAAGTCCTTCGCTGAAGCAACACATCCCAAGGAAAGTCTGCACGAGTACTTGACACGTGTGTTTCTCTCTGCAGAGTGCAGCACATCGTGGCGAATCTCTTCATGCAGCTGCTGCTGGGGATTCCCCTGGAAATGGTCTACAAAGGCTTCCGGGTGGGGCTGGTGTACCTCGCGGGAGTGATGGCAGGTCAGTGCTCTGCGGTGCGGAGGAGGCGACTAAAGCGAAGGCAGCTGTGACTCAGAGGGCTTTGATCAAGGTTTCCTGCACTCCTGCTGTGTGTGGGGACTGCACTGAGCATTGCGGGAATGGGCCCCCACAAGTTAGAGGGACTGTACGCACATGAAGACCAGTCAGTCAGGGTGCCCCCCCTCAGCTTCAGCAAGCAGAGTTTTGTGCACCACAAAACTGCAAGTAATTTGGTGAAGGACATGAAGCCCCCTATGTGTCAAACTAACAATCTGGGGAAACATAGGAACCAATTTGCATTTAAGAGAGACAACTTTGGGCTGGGGTTATAGCTCAAAAGTAGCATTTGCATAGAATGTGTGAGGCCCTAAACAAACAACTTTAAGGGAAGGCAGAGAATAACTAAAAGGGGCTTCTAGATTGAGCTGGGACTAGCATATGGCATTGATTTCTAAAACTGCACACATCTAACTTGATTCATTATGGTGTGGGAAGAACATAGTAGAGCTCCCTCCTATGCATGTTTTTATTTATTTTCTGGAACCATTTAAAAAATTAAACATTTAATTTTGAGCTAATTGTAGGTTTACATACAGTGGTTAAGAAATAACACCAAAAGTTGCCAGGTACCCGTTATCCCAATGGCAACATCTTGCAAAACCAGATGCCTACCAGGATGCAATCAAGGTATAGAAAAGTTCCAGTGCCCCTGTGTTTTTCATGTTGACTCTTCCCTGTCAGCTTCCTGTACTCTTTTACCCTCAATGACTAATATTTCTCTATCTCTTTTCCTTTTTTAGAGGAGATGGTTAAGACAGGGTTTCACTATGTAGCCTAGGCTGGCCTTGAACTCTCAGCAGTCCTCCTGTCTCAGCCTTCCAAGGACTGGGATTACAGGCATGAAGCACCATACTTGGTGCAGTTTGTCTTTTATTTAGATCTCCTAAATGGTATTGCATTTCTAATTTCAGTGTCTTTATGTTGATTGCTGATGTGTAGAAATACAATTAATTTTTGTGTGCTGCTCCTCTGTCTTGGAACTTACTTAACTCATTTATTAGTTCTATGGTGTGTCGTAGTAGTTTTGAGATTCTTCGGGATTATCTGTGCTATCTGCAAACCATCAGGACATCCACAGGTAGGACAATTTTCTCTCTTCCTCTACGTCCATTTCCTCCTCTTGCCTTACAGTGTGGATGAGCACTTCTGGCATCCTGTTGAGTGAAAGGGGTGATAGAAGCCTTTGCCTTGCTCCTGGTCTTCAGCAGAAAGCAATTAAATTAGTCCTTCCCCACGAAGTATAATGTTATCTGTAAACTGTAGGCTTTTTGTGAATGCTCTTTATCAACGCCTTCTTTCCTCCCGACTTGCCCCGTCTCTTAATGGGCTCCCTCTGTTGCTCTAGCTGTTGCTCTTGGGCTCAAGTGTACCTTCTACCTCAGTCTCCAAGTGCTGGGATTATAGGTTTACCCACTGTGCTGGCTTATCAATGCATTTATTTCTAAAAATGAGCAAGAAATCAAGCATGATTCCTGTGTAATATACAGATGGAGATAGGCTCCCTCTTTGTCTTTGTGTGTCACACAGTGTGTTCAGCTTTCGGAGCAAAGGTGACGACTCTGGCACACAGGGCCTGAAAGACCTCCTTGGCTTATTCCTGTCCATGTTGGAGGATTTGCTGTATGTGTGCCTGGCTAAATAAACGGGATAATTTTTAGGAGGAGGAGAGGATATCTTAAGCTAGGGAGCTATCACAAAAATGTTTTATTCTTGCTGGATTGTTTTATGTTGAATTACTTAGAATTGTTGACTTTGATTAGCCTGTCTCTCTCTCTCTCTCTTTCTCTCTCTCTCTCTCTCTCTCTCTCTCTCTCTCTCTCTCTCTCTCTCTCTCTCTCTCTTTCTCTTTAGCACCAGTGACTGAACTCGGGATCTTATGCTTGCCAGGCAGGTGCTTATGTCCCTGAACTATCTCCCTGCCCCCCCCCCTTTTGGTCTTTTTAAGACAGGGTCTTGTTATGCAGTTCAGGCTGTCCTTGAGCTCACTTTGTAGCTCAGGCTGTCCTCACACTTGTAGTGATCCTCCTGCTTCAGTTTCCCAAGTGCTTGGATTATAGGTGTACACCACCACACCTGGCTAGACTTTGCCTATTTTTTTGTGTGTGTATGTGCAGGGTCTCACTACACAGCTTAGACTCATAGTGATCCTCCTGATGTCTGCGTCCCTAGTGCTGGGATTACAGGCATGCACCACCATGCCAGGACTCCCATCACAGGCTCAATGTGCCCAGGGGCAGGGCAGATTGAACCCTGGCTGATGCACTTAATCTAAGCAAGCGCTTAGTCTTCTGAACTATACCACCGGCTCTTACATTTTTCCTTATATAAAAAGATGGGTGTCTGATTTGCTGACTTTTTTTCTGTGATAACAAAAGATTTTAGTAGCATATTCCTTAACAGACATTAAAAAAAAAATACACAATATATCCCATGACAGTATTTTTCCTTTCAAAAGAGCAAGAAGCTAACTTTTCTAAAAATACTCAAGCTAAGGAAAGGGAATTTTGAAAATTGGCATCTGGGAGAGTTGTCTTATTTATTTTATCATACCTGAGACAAAATACCCACCATCCAAAGTGAAAGGAGGAGAGGTTTATTTAGCTCACAGTGTCTAGAGGTATTAGTTCATAGTTGGCAGCGGGCAGAGCAGAGCAGGCAGGCAGCAGGAGAAAAGTGACAACCAGTGGCCCTTTTTCTGTCCCTTATATCTTATCAAGCCTACCCACCTTTAGGGTGGGGAGTACTCACAGCTGAGGCGGGGCAGGCTTCATCCTGCCCGGAATAATACCACACCAGTCAGAGGACTGACCTAGAAATCACACCTGCTTGATCCCAGCGCTACCTCAAAAAAGCTCTGCCTGTGACCATGTGAGGCTTTGGGGGACAGTTTAAGGTCAGCTTGAAGTACACAGCAAGATCCTACCAAAAAAAAAAAAAAAAAATTCTCCCTCCCTGTCCTGTCTCTGTCTCTTTCTAGGTCTCTGTCTTTTTGAGACAGGGTCTTGCTATGCAGCTCAGGCTGGCCTTGAGCTTACTTGAGCCCAGGCTGGTCTCAAACTCAAAACAATCCTCCTGCCTCAGCCTCCCAAGTGCTAGGATTACAGGTATGCACCACCATACCTGGCTAAAAAAAATTCTCAGTGAAGACTTTTAGTGGACTTTAACCTTTATTGTAGCACTTTCTGATTATTTTTCATTTTTTAAATAATTTTATTGGGAAACAAATAGCAATGAGACAGTTTCAAAACTGATTAGTAGGACAGTTTCAATAATTAATACATTGAATATTGTCTTTGTAGTGGTTATTCATACTACAAGATGCAGACATGATATCCTGTCCACAAATGCAATTAGTACAAATCTTTCTATTCATTGAATTAAGAGCAAGTAGCTGTATATCTATCCTATTTTGAATATACAAATACAAAATGATCCTGCATTTGCATCCCTTTTTTTTTTTAGTTTTATCAGAGATGGGTATTCCATTGTCATTTAAATATTGTAGGTGGGTGAATTCAGCAAAATATTCCAACATAGTCCAGTAGTCCATAATAGTAGTGGGTTATCCATAGGACTGGCAATGTCAGAAGTTGTTGATTCGAGCCTTTTACAGCTTAGCATATTAATATGGCTTTACTTTTTATACCTTGTTTTTATACTTTTCTGCTGGATGATTAAGACCAAGATAAAGCAGGACCTATATAACAAGAAATGTAACTTTTGTATCTGACAAGGTTAGTCAAATCCTCTCAGGAAAACCTTCTCTCAGGCTTTCACAGAGAGCAAAATGGTCAAGCAATGGTTGTGACTCATCCACATGGCTGACACTGAGAAAGGATCTGTTTTTCAAGAACAAACGATTTTTTTTTATTTTTTTATTTTTTTTTAATTTTTTTATTTATTTGAGAGAGAGAGAGAGAGAGAGAGAGAGAGAGAGAGAGAGAGTGTGTGGTGTGTGTGTGTGGCCAGCTCAGCCCACCAGGGGGCGGGGCTGGCTGGCATGTGGTGCTGGGGGATTGAACCGCGGTCCCTGATGCTTTGCTAAGCTTGTTCTAAGTAGGTGCTTTAGACCACTGAGCCATCCCTCCAGCCCCAAGAACAAACGATTTTGAGGAGAGTGGGAATTAGCCAAATTATAACAAATTTGCATAATTAGAGTAAGCACAGTCAGTGATACAAATCTTCCATGTGAAACTACATATCACTTGTAATTTTTTTTCTTTTTTGTATTTTAAGAAAGGGTCTACAGGGTGTTCAGGGTCTCACTACTAGATCTGCCTGTTCACAGCTTCCCAAGAGCTGGAATTATAGGTGTATAATTTCATATTTTGGCCTTGACACCCATTTCTATAGAAAGTAACAGACTTTAGGATTATATTTTTGTATTTCTGCATCATCATATTTAACTCATTAAAAAATGAACCCTATTAAAGTAACACTACTTACTGAAAATTTTTAATTTTTTTAATGTATTTGGTACAGGGTCTCACTACACAGCTCGGACTCATATAGTGATCCTCCTGTTTTCAGACTTCCCAGCATGGGGATTACAGGCATTTGCCACCACGGTGTGCCCAGGAGCAGGGCCATTGTGACACGTGGTACTGGAGATTGAACCGCAGTCCCTGTGCTTTGCCTAAGCTTGCCTAAGCAGGCACTTCAGACCTCTGAGCTATCTCACCTGCCCTGCCTTCATCATTCTTTTATTCTTCCTTTGTACTTTTGTTTTCTCTTTGTTTTTATTTATTTATTTTTTATATATTTATTAAAGGTCTTTAGGGGCTCACTGCACAGATCGGACTCATAGTGAAGCTCCTGTTTTCAGCCTCCCAAGCTCTAGGCTTACAGGCATGCACCACCACTCCCAGTCTCCATCACCTTCTCAGTGCACCTTGGGGCCAGCACAGCATGCTGGATCAAACCCCAGTCCCTGCACCTGT